AAATCTCTCTCAAAAAAAAAAAAAAAAAGAATACAATAACGGAGTAGTTTGCTAACTTGGAGTTTTGAGGAGGTGAAGGAGGAAGGTAATGAGTTCTGTTTTGTCCATGCTGTGTTTAAAATGCTTATGAGCCATTGCAATAGAGATACTCAGATTGCACGTGGTGCTTAGAAGAGGTGACTGCCCCAGAACTAAATCTGAAATTCAGCATTATACAGGTGATAATTAAAGCCATGGGAATATGAGAAAATCTAAAATTGCCCCTGAATAATATGTAGAATAAGAAGGGAAGCAGTTCATTATAGAATACTGAGGGATACTTATCTTTAAAGAACCTGCAGGAGAGAAAGAAGGTCTCTCAAAGAATACTGAGGACAAACAAATAGAAGGAAGAAAACCAGAAGATTGTGTATACAAACTTAAAGAAAGAAAGACTTTTCAGAAAAATGCTGAGTGGACAGCAGGGTCAAAAGCTGCCATGAGGTTATATCAAGAAAGCTTTGATGATCTTCACAAGAGCACTAACAGAGGAGGCATTTAATATACGTATGTCAAATTTCAGTGTTTGAGGATCAAATGGGAGGGAGGTCACGTGGTCATGGTCTCTGATTCTCAAATTTCCACCCTACCCCCTGCCTCAAAATTGGTAGATTCTGTTACTCTTGCTGTTGTCTGTTTTAAAACACACTAATTTGAGTTCTGGCTTTGGGCAGAGGGCAGAGTATATTCTGACTAGTTGAAAGGGATTTATTGCAGGGTATTGGTTAGCTTACAGAACGTCTGGGAGGGCCAAGGAACCAACCATGACATTGCACAGTCATTGACAACAGCCAGGAGAAATGACCAACCACACCACAGGAACTTTCCCGGAAATAAGTCCCTGCTGTCACCACATGACTTAACTAGAGGAGGGGGGAAAAAAAAGAACATTACCCAAAGATAAATGAAATTATTGAGGAGATTCTGTGTCTCAAAGGGGGTGAATAACTGTAACTTTATTATTATTATAATTATTATTAAAGAGGTTTTTACCTGAGGGTGTGTGCACTTGCCACAGAGACAGAGAGAGAGATACAGAGACAGACAGAGACAGAGAGAAGAAAAGTGAGAAATCACCCCCCCCAGGGAGGATGGCCACACCACAATCCCTTCTCCTCCATTCTCCTCCCAGGATCTTGGGCATGCACGCACACGCGCCCAGTGTGAACCAGGACTCAAACTACACTCGGCATGTGGGAGTCCAGAGACGTAACCACTACGCCATCTGCTGGTGCTTCTTTTTCCTTGTATGAGGAAAAATTGCATTATGAGGGGCAGGAACTTGAGGTGATGTGAACTTGAGATGATGTGATCCTAAAATATATATGGACTGTGGGAATAGAGAGAACACACACAAGATATTGGCATCTAATTAACAGAGACCAGGGATCTTATAAAGTACAGGAGAACTTTCAGCAGCAAAGAATTACCCAGCCCGACGTCAGAGAAACCCTTTATTAATGCAAAGAAATCAGAGAATGCATCATATACTCTTTCTTTCATTAAGAAATGTGTTAAATCACAAAATGGTCAAGTGTACTTAAAATATGGCAAAACAAACACCTACAAGCTTATCACCAAAATTTAAGAGCGATTCAGCCCAGTCACAGTGGCTCAGTTGGCAGGACACTGCTATGCGCTGCTGGAACCACACTGGAGGCCCAGGTCACTCTGAACACATCACATGAACCTGCCCTCATCATGATTCTGGTTGGCCGAGAGGCTGGGGGAAGATGGTGGCATGCTGAAACCCTGTCAAGGGTCAAGGATACCTGTCTCTCTCTCAAGAAACAAACAAATAAAAAAGAGATACATAACATGGTTCTTCTACATCAAGGAGGAAAAGGTGGAGCCATGAGTCTGGACAACCCTTGAGGAACACGCTAACTCTGTATGACTGAAAAATCGACAGTGCCTGATAGAAGAGTATTCAACAGCTCCAGATAAAGCCTTTCACTTCTCCTTCGCAGAACTTTCAAATGAAAATTTTCTGAAAAAATAATTCATTAAGTTCAGAGTAAGAATTTTCTATCTGGCTCATTAAGTAGCAATATTAATAAATATCATTAGGATAGCATAATACCTGGAAAAGAAAGAAAAATCGCAGTCACTTTCAATAAGGGGAGCATAACATTTCTTGAGAACTCCATAGTCTGCCTAAATGGAATCAGACAGGAGCACCAAGTTTAGCCTTGTAAGTTCCTCATGACACCATCCAAAGCTGACAGTGGGCCAACCACAGTGGAGTAGCTAGAATGCCGAAGTCACATGGGAAGGTCATAGGTTCATGTCCTGAGGTATCCCCACACACACCAGGCAAATGCCCATGTGCCTGTAATTCTGGCTGCTGAGGCTGAGGCTAGATTGCAGCACGAGGACCTTGTTGGGGGTGGGGGACTCTCTTTTTCTCTCTCTCGTGGAAGAAATAAATAAATACGTTCAAAAACAAAAACCTAATACTGGTGACGGATTTAGTCTTAGCTGCAGTATGGGCATGGCTTGCAATCTGTATGTTCTAGTGCACACGTGATTTCTCCCATAAGATGCCACAAATATAACTGGAAGACTTGTCTCCTTCAAACTTCTAGTGACCATTGCTGCATATGAGATAAGTAGAGAAATACACAGGGAGATCAGACAGGTTAATCTACCAGCCGGGGAACTGCTCCTGTCGCCAAGCTGGTTCAAATTTACACCACAGCAAGTTTACCAAATCTGCACATCGAGATACATTAGTGTCACTCTTGAGCGGGTACACACATGTACTACACATTTATCAAATCACACTATCATGGATCCTGTGATGGCTAATTTCAGGTGTCATCTTGACTGAGCTAAGGGATGAGCTTCCAAAAGGTTATTTCTGGGTGTGTCTGTGAGGATATGTCTGGAAGAGATTAGCATTTTAATCAGTAAACTGAGTAAAGAAGTTCATTCTTTTTTTTTTGAGAGATTTTTGCTATAGGGCATGTGTGCTCGCCAGAGAGACAGAAAGTGAGAAATCACCCCCCAGGGGGGATGGCCACACCGCAATCCCTTCTTCTCCATTCTCCTCTCGGGATCTTGAGCACGCACGCAGACGCACCTGGCGTGAGTTTAAGCCATCGGGTCCGGGACTCGAACCG